TTCCATTCCATTCCTGAATTTATGTTTTATAATTAAAGTATTTTTTTCAAACCTGGAGGGCTTTGGGGGGAAATCCCAGCTGTCTGCTGCTGAAGGCACTGTGATATAAATGTTTAAATGCAGAGCTCCTTGCTGCCTTTTCTAATTGAGCAATGCAAATGAATCACAGCAGTTTTTCGGTTCACCATAACACAGTGAACAGAAATAAATAACAGGCCCTGAAGAAGCAATGAGAACAGTGGGGTTGAGATATAGGTGAAAGTCTAATTACAGTCAGCAGCTTCCCAAGAGCTGAATAAAGATCTTGTTATACACCGGATGTTTGACTGCTTGCATTACATACAGTAGAGATACAGTAGCCCTGGTGCAACTGCAAATGATAGAAGTGTCAATTTTGAGAAGCAGGCTTTCTAGTAACAGGATGTTTATGTAATGAGATTAGACTGTGAGGGCACTGAAAATGCATTTTTGTCGAAATGCTGGCACGCGTTTTGACACTAGAAATGCAGATTATTTGTGGTACAAAGTAAGGGTTGGATTTCACCTGTCTGGATGCATTTCTTTTAAAATCAATACATGTTACACTCCTCTGTTTTGGAAGAATTGTTTTTGAGGGGGCGGCAGGGTGTGGTAAGCAGCTAGCTACAGTTAGGGAAACCTAAGCAGGGCTTTTTTTGTTGAAAGGGTCGTGGCCAGCACGCAGAGCTGTTAAGTCAGCTCTTTTAGTCTTTAGATCTTCATAAAAATAGGCTGAAAACTAGGGAGGAAAGAAATCAAGACCGGTCTTATTCTATAAATACTTAAATTAAGCATACAATGAATTCTGCATTTAGATGTAACACATTACCAGCATTTTAATAAATTGCAGAATTTTCTGGAATCTTCATACTAGGGGATCACCTGGTATATGGTAGAATCCTATGTACTGTAACAGGTCATTCTGAAATGCAGGGCAGAGGATGTGACCTAATTCCTAGAAGTTCTCTAACAGGTACTGAAGAGTTCATCTACAGCACCTACAGTACTAAGAGAAAGTTCAATTCAATTGAAAGTCTCATTTTTAGTGGGGTTGTGATGTGTATTAACTGTGATCAGTATCTCAATAGGTAATTAACTATCTGAAATCAGGATCAGGCAATAAGAGAGGTAATTACTATATTGGGAAAGAGTTAGACACTGCAGATACAGTAAGAGAACAGTACAAGTCAGCAACCCTGAATTGGAAGAGGTAGTTGGAAAACGGATGGATGGAGAGACTACTTTTGAATAGGGTGGCCAGTTGGAAAGGGGGGGGTTCACAGAGAGATTCAAAAACACTGAATCTTGAAAAAAGAAAATTTGCAAAAGAGATAGGCAATGCAGGTGAATCAAAAAGATGACCCAAGGGAAACACAAGATGGTAATTGACTAGGTAATTAAATTCTTGTACCTTAACATTAAGATGATGAGGAACAAAATGCAAAGAGATACAAGCAACTGCATTGGCATGTACAGTAATTGGAATCATGGAAACATGATTAACTGTAGAGAGGGTGAAGTAGCCTAATAATGTACATCATAAAAGAAGAATCTAGTTAAAGAAAAATAGTATGATGAACTGCTAGAACAGGTTAGAAATACAGCAGAAAGATCAAGTGAGTGACAGAAAAGAACATTGTAGTGGAGGCTAAAATGTTTTTTCAGCATCAGAATAGCAAAACAATAGTAAAGGATAGAGTAATGTCCGAGATAAAATATGAAGCTTTTCGATCCTGAAATGAAAATGGCAGGCGTATTAAATGACTATTTCACTTGGGTGTTTACCAAGGATAAAATGGGCAGTTGTAAAGGCTGAGCAAACACAGCATTCAGTATTAAATAATACTAGCATGGAAAAAGAAGATACTACAAGCATTAAAAATCAACAGATTGCCAAGGAGTGATGGTTCTACCGATTATACATAAGGAAACTAGAGATGTTAGTCATAGGACATTAACAAAACTCTCTCAGTTCACTAACTGGAATGTTTTTAGTGCACCTATCCATAAAATATTTGACAAAACCAAACCAATTACTTATAGATCAAGAGATCTTCTATTGCATGCAAGGCCAAAGAAACAATAATCAGAACGTAACTAGCAGACCATATGTATGGCCCCAAGAGTTTAAGGAATGGTCATTGTGGATTTTGAAAATGTAAGTATTGGTTAAATAAGTTGTTCCATGTTCAAAGACTCCTTTGAACATAACAACAGCTCCAAGACAACATTAAGCATTAACTGGGTTCTTTCAAGTCCATGGAGAGAAAAAAAAAGATCAATACATTTCAGAAGGCGGCACGACTTTGTTTTCAAGTCGGTACAGCCTTGGTAAATGAATAAACTAACTACAATGAGCAAACAAGAGTCCTACACAGGCCGAGTGAAGGAACTGAACCTCTTTAGTCTTGAGCAGAGAAGGTCATGAAGAAACTCAAACTCAAAATGAACAGTGAAACACGAACCAGAGGCCACAAGAGGAAGATACTTGGCAGTGCATTTCAAAATGAGCAGAGACACTTCTCTTCTCTACCCACAGGGTTGAGGCGATTTGGAATAAGATATTGATACTGGATGAATAAGAGTATGATACTTTGCCATGTTTAAAGAGACAGTTGGATGAGTTTCGGGGATTAATTAGCTACTCACTGCCAAATGTACTTAATGGGCTGAATGGCCTCTTGTTTGTAATTTTCCTTCTGCTCTTAGTTTCAGTTTATTTTCATTCAGATCAGTTAAAAATATTAAATTTGCATTTCCTAACTCCCACTTTCCTTGAGAACAGGTATAAAGATACACCTCTCCCTTTGTGGTTACTTTAACAGTGGAAGCGTTAGCCCAGGTTTTGTAACTCTGGATAAAATGTATAATTATACTTCAATGTTCTGCAGCTGGATATTTTTTTAATTTCCTTTTGGGATTTTTAATAACCACGGAGAGCCAGGACCTTGGTTTTTACATCTCATCAGAAAGACGGCGCCGTCCCTATACTGAGACATTAGGATCCACACAGACTGCAGGATGTCCCACCGGGTCCCACCAACACCTCTTCCAACAGCAACCTAAGCTTTCCCAGGTGGTCTCCCATCCAGGTACTGGCCAGACTCACACATACGGTACATAGCTTCAGTGGGTTGCCAGTTGTAAATTGCACAGCAATATAGCCACTGGCTATAGTTAAAGAAACTCACCTTCCTCACCATCTCCTCCAGCTCCCATCTCAAGAGGAATTATGAACTTATCCATCTTTCAAACTGGTAAAGTACTAGGCCTGAATTCGTGAGAATAGCAAACACAGATTAAAGAGCGATAGAACGGAGTATTGAAGTCAAGTTGAAAACATTTTTTTTTTCCAATAACAACAACAGTAACAGATGAAGTCAAGTGTCTCTTTGATGTAAAAGGTAAACTGTGCATGAAATGCATTTCAAGCAGGGTTGTACCAAGGATGACATCTCAATCGTGTTCTGGATAAAGTAGCTACAAAAGGCAAACAATGCTACAGTAGGATATCTGCGAAGGACTGGTACAGTACTTCCTCTGAGGTGTATCCTGCTCCTGTTGCTTGCCAGGACAGGCTCAACCACCCTCATGACCCTGAATTACATGAAGCAGTTAGACAATGGATGGATGTTAGAATCCATAATTAAGAGTGTAGAATTTCAATTAGGGGTGTCATGCTAAAATACATTTGATACATTTCTGAGCTGAAAGGAAAGCTCTGACAAGCTAAAGAAACCATTTTTCTATTTTTCTTGAACAGGGAAAGATATGACTGTACCTGATTAAAATAAGGAAAATGCTCATCAATAAAGTTTGCTCAGTGGAATTCATCAGAATCAAAGCTGATGAATGATGTGGGCTTTCTCAGAATCCACAGTGGATACCTTTGGCAACTACATGCAGGTGCACTAAATGGTCAGTCCATACACTGACAAGCACACAGTAATGAGATTCCTGTGACGCTTTTCTGAAGAATTTCTTTAGTGATAACAATCCTATAAACAGGCAGGCTGAAAAGGAAAAAAAAAACACATTTTAGTTACAATGTGCTTTCAAGCTGTGTTCAAAGATACAGAGATGCTTTGAACCGCTGAAATAATGGCAGGCCGAAGGAACAGTGATTTGTGCCTTCGGTCCTTCTGTCTGCACAGATAAACTTCCTGTTTCTCCTGCCGATGGACTGCTGTGAAGAAGGGAGGG